AGAGAAGAGAGGTTTTGGATATCGAGGCTGAATCACGTAAGGAAATCACGATTCTTTGAAGACTTTCTACAAGAAGGTGTATGGCTCAAAGACAATGTAAGTATTTTGACCGATTATACTAGTTTCGTTGTTTGACCATTCATATTTGGTTTGACTAGTTTGACTGTTTTATTTTTTGTTTTACAGCATATCGACGAAGCAATGCACGAAATCCGGAAACGTGTAAAAAAATTTTCACCGTGCCACAGGAAGTACTTCCTCTGTGATGTGCGTTGTTGTGAATACTTCAAATGGTGGGAAATGGGGCAAAAAGAAATCGGTGGTGTTGGACAATACATGAGTGGGGACTTGCCACTTGACGGTGGTAGCAGGAAATTGGAACACTACAAAGGTTTCATCAGTGTGCCGAACATTCCGTCGTTGGCAAACCCTAACATAGGAGTCCATTGGGTCACCATTAAAGTGGACTTCACCAGGACTGTGATTGAAGTGTATGACTGCAACCCGAATATGAAGGAGGCCACGGTTAAAGTCATTCATCACTTAAGTAGAAGTATCTCAGATGCCTTCAAGGTTAGCGGGACCGGCCGAATTGACGTTTCAAACAAGTTTTCCATCGACTTTGTATCTAGCATACTTCAGAACCAAACAGGAAATGAATGTGGCGTGTACAACATCAAATATGCGGAGGCACTCTACATGGGTGAACCGAAGTTATTAGAGGACGTCAACGATGAGGTAATATATTTTATACGTGAAAAACTTGCTTGCGATATATTTGCTAATGACCACGAAGTAACGGTACCTCCAGAGGAACGTCAAGATTCTTCTTCATGAATCCATGATCCTCTTTTTAATTAGTTGTATTTGAATCATGTGTACTCTCCGAACATATTTTTTATCGTTTATTTCCTACGAACATCCTTTTAATTATATGTATTTTATCGGGTAAATCTTCATACTATTGTCATTACTCGTCAAACCGTCAAACTCGTCACACCGTCAACCCGTCAAACTCGTCACACCATCAGTACCCATCAAACTCGTCACACCTTATCGATTTTCGCGAATTTGCCTACTGCAACCCGTAAACTTATCAATTATCATCCCATTCATCAAGTATCTTATGCTGAATCTAAATCTAGCTCTCAAATTTTAAGACCTTTTTGTTTCTCACAATGCATGTTCTCCCAAAAAAACCCTAAAGTTCTAATAGTGTTCTCCTAACACATTGGCTTAGGGTAGGAAATAGTTTTTT